ATATATATATATATATATATATATATATATATATATAATATTAGATATACAATATATAGAATATTAGAATACATTTTTTGAAAGTCTTTAAAAAATGTATTCTAATATTATAATATAAACTTATGTTCAAAGTAAAGTGTATTATAATATACTGTATAGTATACTATATATAGCAGTATAGTAGTATAGTAGATAAAACAAATTTCTTTTAGATCCACTTCTCTAGTGATATTAAAACAGAGATAATAAAACAATAAGAATTTTGAAATGCACCAGATCGGTATCCTCGTTCATTAGCTACCAAGAGCTAACTATAAAACTACCTTTCCTATTTTTTTATTAACAGACGAACTAAAAAATAAAGTCACGATTGAATCTCCCTTTCATATTATTTCCTATATCTTCGTACACACCTTGGTTCTAATCTTCGATTGAAATTTAATTAGCCTGTGGGAAATATGCTGAGTTGTAATCGTTGCGTAAAACAATCATGTCATTCACAAACACACGGAGAGCATCTCCATCTGTGAGACGAACGTTCGTGCGGTATCTTTGAAAGAACGTCAGTCTACGGTGAAACTCTCCGATGAAACGTCAAAATAAAGCTCGTTCGAGCTGCAAATCGACATGGTCGACTACGTTCAAATATTGAGCGCGATCGTCGCGGTCTTCCTCGCGCTGTACTATTATCTCACGTCGACGTTCGACTTTTGGAAAAGTCGCGGTATTGTTGGACCGCGGCCTCTGCCGATGTTCGGCAACCTGAAGCATGTGCTGCAGAGAAAAATGATCATGGGCGATTGCGTGAGAAAGTTGTACGAGGAGTACAAGAGCCAGCCGATGTTCGGCATATTTCTGAGAAGTTCGCCCGCGCTTGTTCTCTGCGACTTAGATCTTGTCAAGGACGTGCTGATCAAAAACTTCTCTACGTTCGACGATCGAGGTCTAGGGATTCCCGAGAAAGTACGTATTCCATTCTTCACTGTATCAATTATATGTGTGTGGTTGTAAGAAAAGCTACTGCGCATTACATGTTTTTACTTTCGAGATAGTGTCGTTTGAAGTTCTTGACATCAGTGACGTCTCTTATCAGCGATACTCTCTTGTTCTCTAAATATAATAATATTGTTTATCTTTTTTTTTCGTGTATGCCGTTTTTTTCTTTTTTTTTCAAATATATGAGCCGTTTATCTTGAAAGTGGCCTAAATCCGCTTTCAAAAGAAAAAAAAATCGAGATAACTGTTTTAATATTTACATTTCTACGTTATCTTTTCACTTATTATCTTTCATCACAATTTACACAAATTGTAAGTAATATAATCGCTAAGATTTTTACACAGAAAATTAGCTGGCTAATAAAATGATAAAAATGTTCATTTTGAAAGTGGCTTAAGTTCCGTTTTAGGAGTTTCAAACTGATATGAATTATATATTATGCAATGAAATTTTATGAGATAAGAGCTATATTTTTTGTTATTAATATAGTACTGTTCGATTAGCTCAGATAGTGATTTCTTAAATAATAATAATTCCTTTAAATATAGTGGATTTCATTTCAACTAAACCTCTAGAGAACACGGTTTTTAGAAGGTTAAAAAATATTAATGGAGAAAGGATAAATTGGTTAAAAATATGTTGGATGCGATTTTTGAGAACTTAAAAAAAAAAAAAAAAAAAAACACTGTACTTCAAAAGGTAAGTAAATGGATAATGTACAATCCTATAAATTATTTTTGATTTAAGTCTTTTATAACTATAGCCGATATATCACTGGCACTAAAAGGGTTAAAGAAATGAAATCAACATAAAAATTTGTTTCATCTATTAAATATTCCACTCTGAATATTTCATGCGTATTATTGAACATTACCGATAATTTCTAATTGCATTTACAAAGGAATAAAAAACCAATAAAACGAAGAATTAAAGGTTTGATCTAATTTTTGATCATAGACTGATCCACTGGGGTCGAATCTCTTCAGCGTAGACGCGACAAGATGGCGACCATTACGAATGAGACTCTCGCCGGTGTTCACCTCCGGTAAGCTAAAGGAAATGTTTTCCTTGATATGGGAGTGTGCCAGAAATTTGGAGCAATGCCTGGAGAAGCTGGCAGAGAAGGGGGAACCGGTGGAATGTCAAGAGATAGCAGCGAGATTTACCACCGATGTTATCGGTAGCTGCGCTTTCGGCATCGACATGAACGCACTGTCGAACGAGGAGAGCGAATTCCGAAGGATCGGGAAGCAAATCTTCGACCAGAATTGGAAAGCGTTCTTCAGGGCCACTTTTCGAGATATGTTCCCACGATTGTACAATGCGCTTTGGTTCATCATACCGGAGTCAGAGTCTAGTAAATTCGTTACGAAACTGGTCACGGATACGATGAAATATAGGGAGGAGAACAACATCGTTAGGCCAGATTTTATAAACATACTGATGGAAATGAGGAAGAATCCGGAAAAGCTAGAGAACATCAGTGAGTCAACCGCGCTTTTATCCCTATTAACAGATCAATAATTCATTTAGAACAACTCGTAAAAGAATTACCTGAACGTTATTAAATATAATTTACATCTCACTCGCAATCAGTGAATTCGTTACATTCACTGAGTATCTGATAGATTTATTTTAGATACTTGAAAAGTATTTGTCCATTATCTGAGTAGCGATAATCAACAGAAGAATTCTGAATTATTGTTTCAAGTAGCTACCCCCGTTAATGATATTTGATATACTTAGTGCATTAAATATCATTAATTGCACTTGAAACAATCGAATAAATATTAATATATTATATTTCGAGTTTGATCAAATTTTTGCGAAAATTTTACAGAGTTAACAGACTCGATTCTCGCTGCGCAAGCTTACGTCTTCTTCGCAGCTGGATTTGAAACGTCTTCGACGACGATCTCGCACACCCTCTACGAAATGGCAATGAACACCGACATACAGGACAAACTTCGAAAGGAAATACGAGAATTCCATGCCAAAAATAATGGAAGCTTCCAATACGAAGAAGTGAAACAAATGAAGTATCTGGACAAAATATTCAAAGGTACACTGTCGTTGAACTGCTTTGTCAAGAATTCGATTGCCGAACATTATAAAGAGAACTTACGTTTGTGATACAGAAACGCTTAGGAAGTATCCACCGGCAACACTTCTAATGCGGATGTGCAACGCTGACTATACTTTCAATGGTACCAAAGTAACGATCCCGAAAGGTACTAGGGTCATGATCCCTGTGTTCGCGATTCACAGGAATCCAAATATTTACCCGAATCCTGACAAATTCGATCCTGAAAGATTTGACGAAGAAGCCGTGGCGGCGAGGCATCCGATGACCTTCCTACCGTTCGGCGATGGACCAAGAAATTGCATTGGTAAAAAATATTAATAATATTATACTTGTTAACCCCCTTAACAAATCCAAAAGCCGCAAAGCTTTCACAAAATGAGTTTTCATCAAAGAAAATGTTGCACGTTTATTATTTATAAAAGTAATACGTACGTTTCATTAGAGAATTTCATTCATTTATTCCGAATAATAAAAATAACAAAAATTGTAAAGTATCAAGAATATTAGTTGTTTATAGTAAATAGATTGCTTACTCGTTTATGCGAAAATGCATAGAATATACATAATAATATAAAATATATATCTACAATTAATGTAAATCAGAGAATTATATTTATATTAAATATTAAATATTAAATACAATATATAATATAATTATATATATATGAACATTTGTAGTTGAATAATAGAAATAGAATTTGTTGACTTTCTGTTCTTGTCTATTAATGAATTTTATTATTGTTTCAGGATCACGATTTGCAATTTATCAAACGAAAGTGGGACTGATAAAGATATTGCAGAATTTCAGAGTAGATCCTTGCGATAGGACATTAATTCCCTACGTTAACGATCCGAAAGCCTTAATATTGTGTCCTAAGGATAAAGCTATATTGAAAATAAGCAAAGTAGAAAGCTGAATTGATTATAATCGAAATAAACTTAGCCGAGCGCGAAATATGTATTATGCGAACGAGTAACGCTGAAGTGTTAACTAAAAATTTGAAGCTTGACACATTTTTCACCTAGTGAAAGTTTTTTTGAAGTTCACTTAAAAATTTTACTTGATTGTACAGTAATAGATAGTATTATAAAAGTAAACGTCAAGTTCTTCGCATTCTACTCTTTTTTTACATAAAAATGATATTGTAAGTATTTACATCTGTTCAGGTAAAGGATCTATTTTTATTATTACAATTTTATTTGTTAATATCAATGTAAATAATTACACTTTAATATACAATAAATTTACTTCTGCGAACTTCAACGATTTAAAGAAACATTAATGAAAGTACTAATGCATTAAACTAACGCGATCTCCCACAAGGAATTTGAAAATGTGATCTATAAATATTAGAATCTATCACGTTATTAAAAAGTTACATTACTAGAAAAATAGTAGAAAATTTTGGGAACGTTTCAGACGTATTTTCAAAATTTCTATTGCCTGTTTTTGTATAATTTGCAGTTATGTAGATAAACATCATCAAATCAAGGTTTCAATCAGTGTAATGAGTACTGCGAAAGAAACAGATAGCCTTGGAATTTATCCTACTTACGGATTTTATAACGTTACTATTACTCACAGTTTATTACTATGCTACTATTTCACTGTAAGCATTTGGAATTTTCGTGTTTCGTTTTATGTTTCCTTATTCGCGTATATTCTATGTATTTTTAATTATCTTTAAATAAGGCTGCTTCTTCACACAAATGTATTTTATATATAAGAATTATATATACATATGTGTATAATTCACTTACAC